AACCAGCTCTAGTTGTACATTTTGTGAGTTTTATTTGTTTAACTTGAGGTTCGCTTTGATTCCTTTTCTTCGAGGCAGCCTTTGGGATTGAATTTCTGTTAAATATTGAGATCTTCTGAGATCAGGAACTTAGGAACGCTCCATGTTTTGCACAGATTGGTGAATCTGGTCGTTGAGGTGTTCGGTATCTGTCAGATTTTGCTGGAACCTTGAACATTTCCAAAAGCGTTGTTGTGACTTGACGGTAAAGCGGGTAGAAGACGATGCATTCAAGGACAGTCTGACACCTGAGCGTTGGGTTTTCAACACCTGCAGCGATTCTCACGTCATACTTTTTACAGCAAACCAAGAATCTGTCGTCTGGTTTTGATTTCTAGAAATGTGACGCTTTCTAGCAGCTAAAAAAATCAACATTTTCATCAACAAATATCAGAAGTATTCAACAAAACAATCAATCCAAACTTCTTTCGTGGCGACGTCAGCTGAAAGGAGGCGTAAATATTTCACGGCTGCATGATTAAGTTCGTCCGTCGTCCAATCGGAAGCCTGGAACCTGCGAGGCCGCACCTCGCGGCGGCTGCAGGATTTACAGCGACGTCGGTTTCTGTGTGATTTATTTATATTTTTTTTCCTCCTCCGTCTGTCTCTCCTCGTCCCCGTCGAGCTAAACGAAGGAAGAGCGACGGGAAGGCTCGTTGAAATATAAAAGCCCTCCATTAAAAATGTACGCGGCTCCCTCTCTGCTGCCATTTTGCATTTGGGGATCCGGGCGGTGATGAAAGGCAGCGAACGGAAAAAGGGAAAGACGAGAAAGAAAGGAACGAAAGACGGAGAGGCAAATAGTAAATAAGGGAGCAGACGGACGGACGGACGGACGGATGGGTAAACGGAGGGTTGAAGACGCAGCCGGTCGACATTTTGTGGTCTTTGCGTGGAGCGACGGCCGAGACCTCGCCGTCGGATTAACGGTTAACTGTCCGTATGTGGCGTTTAAAATATAAGAAAACACGTCGTCTTAAAACCATGAGGGAAGTTTTCATCCAGGACGGAGACGATTTTATTAGAGTCATACCACGATGTTTGAAGACCGGCATCGTGTGTTGGTCCTTGCTGCCCTAAAACCCCCTCACCATGCCGCCATCTTCACTGGTTTTTGCTCCTGTATGAACTCCTGAACCTCTAGAAGTAGAGAAAACCCAAAATATATACGTATTTATTTTACAAAAACTGTTAAAAGTCAGTCATTACATGCAGCAATTTCCCACATTTCACCTGAATGTAAATAATCTGGGACTTACCAACATTTAAAATCTTATTTTTAGACACGACAGATAATTTGGATTGTTTTAAAAGTTATTTATTTATTTTTATTCTAGTCCCTGATTTGACAGAAAAATCTTAAGTTGAGCATTAAAAGTCTTATTTCTTCTTCTTATATCAAGTTAAATGTACTTGCTTCATGGACCGTTCACCAGTTTTAAGTCATTTTCTTCTCAGATTCAGTGTTTTTATCTGATATTTGGGCTGTTCTTTGTTTGCTGTGTGTCTTCCAACTGCTTCTACTTCACATCTTACTGGAGTTTCTTAACTTATGCTTGTTTTTTTGTTTGTTTTCTCTCTGAAAATAAGGCGAAAAGCCCCCAGATATCCTGTTTGTTGCAGCTGAGCCATTTTTTGCTTCTCAGATCTGCTGAGGAACGCTGAATTTTTTAGTTTTCTGCAGGATTGTTTAGATAATTTGGTTAATTTTAATCGGAAAACTGAAAATCCAGGCGATTCTCGTCGTTGTGTCGTGATAAACGGTGCAATTTTGTCGATTTTTAACACATCTTTCAAACTTGGCGGCATATTTTGAGGTTCGGAGGCGTATTAATATCATTTTATAATTTGTTCCTAAACTCAGCATAGGTTTAGATGAATGTTTCTGAAATCCTGAAAAATAATCTAAATAAAAATGGAAAACTCTTGTCCATCGCAGAACTGGTTCCATTAAACCAAACACCTGAACCAGGACGTCGTTGGTGCTCATTTAAACAAATTAAAGGAAATAATAATTACAGTCAATTGCCTCCTTTGCAAGTAAACAGAGTTTTGTTGTTGTAACCACGAAGCTGCACGACGATGAATAAACTAAACTTCCCCCCAAAAAACTGGATTAAACGGATGAGAACAAACAGTGAAACTCAACAAATGTAATCCGGACGAGTTAAACACTCGCTTTACAAACCGCAGAGAGATTAAAGGACAAACTGGTGGAGGGATGAGAGCTCGGATTGAGCCTCTAATACGAGCATTTACACAGACAGGAACCAGAATGATCTGTTTTCTGAAGCGGTGACATCAGCCGAGTGGAAACGTCACCGGCTGCTAATTGGTCAGCGTTGGACGCTCGAGGAGGGAGAGAGGAAGCAGGAAATAAAAAAAATAAAAAAAACAAGAAGCAAAACGTGATGAAGTGAAATAAAAGTGCAGTTTTGGTTTGTTCAGGTTTAAACGTCCGCCGACCGTCCTGCTGAAACAAAGCTCAGGGTGGGAACCAGGAGGCCGCGGGACGCCACGAGGAAGAAAGCTGGCACGCAAACACACACAAAAACACACACACACACACACACACACACACACACAAAGAGAGCCCATCTCGTGCCAAAACAGTGAGTCCCTGCTGGAAGCTGCTCGGTGCTCTGGGAATTAGAAATCCCACAATTAAACATATGGGCATTAAGATAATTGTCAGTTGTTGTGCTGTCATGTGTGTGTGTGTGTGTGTGTGTGTGTGTGTGTGTGTGTGTGTGGTAGACAGATGGATGGGATTCAGTGACACACACACACTCACACACACACACACACACACACGTGCACGAATACAGTATTTCCCTGAAAACAACATTTGAAAAGGAAAAGAAAGGAGCAGAAAGTGTAAATAAAGGCGTCAGATACGAACCTGCAGCGACGCACAAACTCTCCGACGGTCGGTCTGCAAAAGAGAAAAAAGAGAGAAAACACACACGGGGAGGAAGGATGTGTGTGAAGGAGAGAGACAGATGGTGATGTGGAGGGTGTTGGGAAGGCAGAGGGCGCCCTCAGCAGGCCGCACGGGGAACTGCAACATCTGGACAGAAAGAAAGAGTCCAGGTTAAATTGATCCACATTCACGATAACATACGACAACCGAAGAAAACAGCAGGAAAAAGTGATTTCCAGGCTTTTAAAGGAGTAAAAGTCGCTCTAATGATCCCTCATAGCGCACAAGACTGTTAAAAAATCAGAAACCTCTCAGAGTGTTTCTGATTTTCTGCTGGAAATTCAAGAACCGTGAGGAAAAAACGAATTTAAAATCGAATTTTCTCGTAAAGAAAGAAAGAAAAAGTTGAGGTAAAATTACATTTATGATAAATCACAACAACCAAACATCACATGAAGCCAAATAAATCTGTTAATCACATTATTACATCTGCAAAAGTGATTTCTGGAACCTCTAAGGAACAGAAGTTTCCTTTATAAACCCTTTTAATAATTAATATTCTACCAACTAGTGCTATAACGAGACTATTTTCTGTTAGAAAAACCAAAAATAAACAATAAAATTCAGTCAAATATACTAAAAAAAGGAAGAAAAATGAGTTTGTTCAGATAAAATTATGATTAATTTGTAATAAATTACAGCAACGACAAATAAATTCTATTAATTCATCCACAAAAATGATTTCGAGGCCCAAATATTCTGATTTTTTTAAAAGAAAAAAATCAAAATCTTCCATTTTAACACAATATTTATTTTCTAGCTGCTCATGTGCTCCGACTCGACTCCTAAAAATACAACAATTGTGTTTTTCCATGACTATAAATTACCAATTTTACTTTGACAAACAGGAAATCCATCAGTTGCTTCTTCTCCATAAGGAAAAACAAACATGAACATCTGCTCTGAGAGATTCTCTCAGAAAGACAGAAATGAACTCACATTGTCAGATGGTTGCACATATTTACCTACCAGGGATGTTTCTGATGCTTTTCCTTCCTCTGCTGGCTTCACACTGAAACATATATTAAATTATATCATAAATACTTTCTATGAACATGAGACCAAAATGTTCAATAAGCAGCAAAAAGATCCACAAAACAAGAAATGAAATAATTTAATAAGAATTTCCCAAATACAAGCAGAGAATAAATCCAAAGAATATTAGAAATAAGATGCATAAACTAATTATTTGCACATTTTAACATCTGTAATTATTAATAAAGTGATTTACAAAAGTGATTCGTTACATGAAAATTATAAATCTAAACGTCACCAGAGAACAGTAACAACACCGAGCAGCTCAGGTTGGAAGATAATCATCAGGAGAATCAGAAAATTAAATATTCTGCTTTTTTACAGCCAAAATAATCCAAGAAATATCTATTTGTCTGCGTAATTAATTCACAAAGCTTCGTTATTGTCCAGAATATACGAGCGAGAGTCGTTTATTCTGCTTCGGTCCGACGAACGTCGTCCTGCTGCCTGAAAAACACAAATATTCATCCGCCTCTGAAAATAGTCCCCGGTAGCAGCAGCGTCTGTCTGTTTGGTTTATCTGTGTGTCTTTTTGTGCATTTCTATGTTTGTGCGTTTGTTTTTTAGCAGTTGTGCAACAGAGAAAACACTGTACTGCTCTACCACCAGTGTACTGAGGCTGATTTTTATTTTTAATTATTATATTTATGCTGTTTTTTATCCTTTTTTCTTAACGTGTGGCTCTAATACAAGTTAAGAGTTTAGGTTTCTAGGTCTATAGAGAGAAGCTGACAATAAAAATCTTCTCTTCTCTCCTAAACATTGATGGTTTTTGGTCAGAATTCAAACCCAGATGGTCGTAGCTGAACCGCTCTGACCATCAGACCTCCACACAAATCACAAGCAGTCCAGATGAACCAGAAGCAGCCACATCTGGACTCGGAGCAGCTGTTTGTTTGTTTGCGTCCTTTCCTTCACTCCTTTCCTCTCCTCTGCCGTCCAGGTGGGCTCGCACAGAGAAGACGGCGGCGGCGGCGGCGGCGGCAGCGTGGGCGGCCTGCGCGGAGGACACTCGATGGCGGGTCAGGTGTCGGTGCCTCAGCTGCCGGTCCAGTCGGCCACCTCGCCGGACCTCAGCCAGCCCGACCCGTACCGCGGTGAGAAACCAGGAGCCACAACTTCATCTCAGCATCAGTTTGTCGCAGATAGAAGCTCAAACAAAAGGATGCAGCGATGAACAAACTGCATCTGTTGGTTTTAAGTGTGTTTACATGTAAAGTCCTGCTATTGTCATGCACACACACAGACAAAATGAACATTTGTGGTCACACATGAAGCAAAAATACGAAAAAATACACCTTTAATTAAGGCCACACGTAGTAATAACACTAAGAAGTTAAAGTAAAGATTGCAAAAGATGAGATTAGTGTTGAGAAAAAAGGAAAAGTGGCACAAGTGGATGAAGTTTAAGAGAAAGAATAATAAATAAATTCACATTTTTCTGCACAAGAAGGTTAAAAGACAAATAAATGATTTGATAAACAGGAAAGAAAATGCACAAGTGTGTGAAGTTTAATAAGAAATAATTAAATCAGACGAAGAAGTAAAAACTGTCAGAGGATTAAAAACAGAGAAAACAATGAGAGACAAAAGGAAAAGTTAGTTAACAGGAAGAATAACGCGTGGAATAATTCACATTTCCGGCCACACAGCAATAAAAGAGGAAGTTAAAATACATGTTAATACTGTAAAAGATTAAATAAATGAGGAGGAAAATGAGAGAAAGCAGTAAAAGTGACATTTACATAACTGTATGAAGTTTAAAAGGACGAAAAAGTCATGAAGTTATGCAAAGAAGTAAAAGTAAAGATTGTCAAAGATTAGATTTAAATGGAGAAACACAAGAAAAAGCGTTTAAAAAATGACATTTACACGATTAACAAGAAGAATAAGGCATGAAATTACACAAATATGTTTTAAAAAAGGGAGAACGATGACAGGAAAAATAAGAAAAAGAACATTTACAAAAGTTTAAAAGGATGAAAAAAGTCATGAAATTATGCAAAGAAGTAAAAGTAAAGATTGTCAAAGATTAGATTTTAAAGGAGAAACACGAGAAAAAGTGTTTAAAAAATGACATTTACACGATTAGATGGGGTCTAAAAAGAAGAATAAGTCATGAAATTACACAAATAAATATGTTTTTAAAAAAGGGGAGAACACTGACAGAAAAAAAATAAAAGTGAAATTTACAAAAGTGGAAAAAAAAGAAGTAAAATGAAGAAAAAAGATGAAAAATGAGGAGATGATGTGACAAAAAACGGGTAAAATGAAGCTCAAGAAATAAAAGACAACAGACAAAAAGAGAAAACAAAACGAGCAGTAAGGTGTGTAACAGGAACCACAAACTGGAGCTAAAATAAACACAAGAAGGTGAAAACGAGGAAACTTCAGGAAGTTGAGCGTCGCTTCGCCACCGGAGCGGCGAGACAGAAACTTAACGAGGAGGCTGAACGGACGATCCGAATGCGAAGCAGCACAAAGTGTATATGAGCGCGCCGCGGAGCAAATTAGCCCTGAGCCGGGTTTTAAAGGCTGAAAATGACTCCGCTGGCAGCGACGGCGAGCCGCCGGCGGCCGCAGCCAAGAGAGTAATGAGGTGAGAGAGGAAGGAACACACAGACTCTGGCAGCACAAGAAGAAGCTCAGACTGGCGGAGCTCAAAGTGTGAGGAGGCTGTAAATAAACGCTATTAGAACGCTTCTGGCAGCCGGCGGCGGCTGCAGAGCTGCTGCAGCCGCTTCACAACAATCAGGAACTTTCAACAATTAAAGGACGTCGACATTCACGTTCATGTCCTCCGTCTCCGTCAGGCTTTAGCTCCACGCTGCAGGCTGGGAGGATTTATTTCTGCTCCTCGTGTGAATTTATAGTTAAAACAAACAGATTTAAAGGTTCGTTCTCTTTGCTGCTGAACTCAGGACTCAGCTGGTGTCACAATCAGAGGTGGACGAGAGTTCAACCACTTAACCTTAATGAAATAAAATCACAAAACAGACATGATTTATCAGCGTGTTTTCAGTGTAAATGTAAATCTGTGTTAGTTTGTGGAGCTGGAGGAGCAGCTCAGAGCTCGTACACAGAATATAAACACACTGCTGCAGCAAGAGGATGTAAAGGACACACAAAATAACTAGAAATAGATGCAGAAAAGAGTCAAACAGACACAAAATGATCACAAAGAGACGACAAAAGACACATAATAGTCTCAAAACAACTACAAAGATGCAAAAAAAGAGGCTCATGATCACCACAAAGATGCACAAAATATCTACAAAGACATTTATAACAACCACAAAGACCCAAAATAACAAGAAACAGACAAAAAAAACAACCACAATGAGACATATAACAACTACAAAGAAACACAAAACAACTACAAAGAGATAAAACAACCATAAAGAGACACAACAAAACAGCCAGGAGACAAAAAACAACCACAAATAGACATAAAACAACTACAAAGATGCAAAAAAAAGAGGTGCATGATAACCACAAAGATACACAAAACATCCACAAAGACCCAAATTAACAAGAAACAGACAAAAAAACAACCACAATAATGCAGAAAACAACTACAAAGAGACAAAAGTCAACCAAAGAGACATAACATATCATAAAGAGATGAAAAACTACCACAAAGAGACAAAACACAACCACAAAAAGACACAAACGTACCACAAAGATGCATAAAACAATGACAAATATGGGGGAAAAAAACGGTGCATGATCACCACAAAGATGCACAAAATATCTACAAAGACATTTATAACAACCACAAAGACACAAAATAACAAGAAACTGACAAAAACACAACCACAAAGAGACAAAACACAACAAAAAGAAACACAAAACAACTACGAAGAGACAAAACACAGCTACATAGACATAACATATCATAAAGACGTGAAAAACAACCATAAAGAGACACAAAACAACCAGAAAGAGACACAAAATAAACACAAAGAGGCATAAAACAACTACAAAACGACAAAAACAACCCACAAAAGTGATGCAAATGAGACCAAACAGACACAAAATGACCACACAGACGCGTCACATGACCACAAAAACGTATAAAACAACGACAACGAGACACAACACGGCTCTGAGGTTGTGTGTCTTTCTCCCAGACGTCCATTTGTTTCATAATCGACCCTCCAGCGACCATCAGAGTCGAATCCTGCTCCTGGTGGAGAACATAAAGTCACCTTCATCCAACAGAAATCTGTTTAATTCAGACACACATGCTGACGTATAACTTTACTCTTATGATGTGAAACCTAAAGGAGAAAAAAGAAGCTCTTTAATGAACATGGCGGTGCGTCCTGGTTAGCGTCCGTCTGGTGTCGGCGTCGCTCGCAGCAGCACAAAGTCACTGTTCACCGTTTAATGTCTCGTTTCGCTGCAGCTATTTATGCGCAAACACACGGACGATTGTATGTAAAAAGGCCCGCACACACACACACACACACACACACACACACACAAACCAAACACAGGCCGTCACTCAAAGCCGCACACAAAATGCCTCCAGTCAGGCAGACGGAGATTCAAAATGGCCAACAGTTGGCCGAGTGTGTGTCTGTGTGGGAACAGAGCGCTCGAGTGTTTTGTGTTGACTGAGATGCTGGCAGCGTCCCAGCCGCGGATCCATACAGACGTCAAATAAAGGCTGCACTGTGGTGGTGGTGGTGGTGGTGGGTTTTTTTTTTTCGTCGGAGGGCTGGGAGAGGCTCCTCGACTCTCCCCGGCCGCCATCTTGGAGGTCGGCCGGAGGATTCGTCGGCGCTCGAGGAGGCCCGGCGCGACATGTCGGCAGAAGGGGGAAAGCTTTTTTTTTTTTTTCTAGCAGCGAGGGAACACACAGCCTATAGAGAATCCTGGATATCAACATAGATAATATTTATGAGGAATCAAGGATGAACTAACAGCAGATGTTCCCACCTGCATGTCGAGCTGTTAGCATTGAAGCTACATTCTTGCACCACTTTTTGACAACATGCAGCGTCATCCGCTCTGAACTCCGCCCCCCAGTGTTGCATTAAAATGCTCCAATTGTAATTAAATTCTCTTTATTTCTATTTGCAATGAAATGCATCCTGCAGTTGATTCTAATGTCGGCTTTGCAGCGTTCCTGCACAACGTCAGGATTGCTAAAGCCAACTTTGGGGCGTGTTATTGGACGATGGTTTAACTTCCGTAGCTCAAAAACAACAAGAGATGGGATGTAAACAACATGAAGAAGTCAACCTGTTTGTTGTCCCGTCCATCCGCCCCAATCTCCTCCCTACAATGCATAATGTACGTTTTCTTTCGGGACTTTCTGGGTTTCAAAAGTGTGATTTCTGGGCAACAACCTGCACAGCAAACATTACACCGAATCTTCAGCACGTAGATGATAACCCCGCCTCTCCTCTCTCGTCCCACAGCCCTGTCCGGAGGCCTTCAGGGCCAGAGCACCTCCTCCGTCAGCTCGGAGATCAAGTCCGAGGACGAGGGCGACGAGAACCTGCTGGACTCGAAGCCGCTGGACCCCAAGAAGGAGGACCCCGACAGCAAGGAGCTAAAAGCTATTGAGAGGTCAAGATCTAGGTAACCCCGCCTACCTCCCAGACGTTCGCTTCCATCAAACCCCTCAGCTGGTGCTGGGACTCGCGTTTTATTCCCAAAACACCTGCGAGCTCGGAGACCTTCCTGGTTCTAGTTGTTTAAATAAAAACCTCTCCAAGAGACAGAACCGGTCCAAGACGTCTGTCTAGAACTTAAACAGCACACAACACAACTTATAACAGGTGGAGTTTGGAGTTTTCTAGGTTCAGTATTTAGACAAAGAACTCACTTGTACTGCAGTAATTTTAGATTTTAGTGTCGCTTTGTTAAATTATATGAACACTAGCTGCACCACAGGACCACAACCACAAAAAAAACCCAAACTGATTTGTTATGTTTTGGAGACTTTCTAAAGAGAAGGAACCCAGAGGAAGGACTTTGAGCTGTGAGTGTTTTGGGAACCAGCCTCTGGACTTTGATGAAGTGACCAAGTGCGATGAGAAGCAGCTAAATGCATCCATTAAAACGGAGACTTCTTCTGCCCCGCGTCCACCAGACATCTCCTCGTTCTCTAACGACGGTGTTTGAAGCCGAGACGGCTCCGTTTGGAGGATTTTCTGGTGGACTCGTGGCTCCTCGGTTGAGTTTCGTCGGTCTCTCCACGGTCTTGAGCCTGGTTTTAGCTGTTTCTCACGCAACAGAGTAGAGCCAACGGACAACATTCACAAAGAAGCGCCGTCTCGCTGCCTCCAGGCCGGGAAGCTAACACCAACACAAACTGCTGGCGAGAACCTGAAGGTGTGAAAGCCACCTGCTGTGAAGGTAGACACCTGAGAAAGCTAAATCTGAAGCTGTTGGTTGTTCCCGTCCTGGATGCAGCTCGGCAGCCTTCACCCCCTCTGAAGGATAAACAAGATGTTTATCAGGGTTGCTTTTCACCTGGAGGACAACTGAAATCAGAAAACATTTGAATCCCAAACCCAGAACTTGTACATGATGGTGGCGGTCATGTTGATGTTGATGTTGATGAATGATGTTGCCGATGCCGTGTTTCAGGGTTTGGGAACGTACTGCCGTGTGCTCCAGCAATACAATGCCAACGTACTATAATAAAGGGGGATTCCACCAAGTGTTTCTGGGGGAAAAAAGTTTTATAAAACCTTTAGTGGCTCACCTGAATTTAATGCTAGCAGCTCAAGGCTACATTAGCCACTAGTTAGCACACCTATGCTACTAAGTCAGCTAGGCATATCCAGGATTTCTTTTTGTTATCCGGCTTTATTAAACCTAACAACAAGTGGTTATAGACTCGTTAAGGTTTCTGAATCTGGCCATGAGCGTTGTCTTGGCCACTGGTGACCAATTAATTCATGTAGTTATTCTTATAGCATTCAAGAGAAACAAATCTGAGGCCAGAAAACATAAGTTGGGTCTCATTTCTGTTTGAAACTTTACTAACACACCCCAAATCTGCGACCAAACCATCAGCAGCCAAGCTGAATTGTGGGTAACGTAGGCCAGGCTAGGTGTCAACGAGGAACGGGGATACGTAGAATTGAAAAAATGTAAATTTCTGGTCCTCGCACATCGATTTTAATCCTTTTATTACCATCCATCGTATCTTCAGGAATGTTTTCAGAGTGCTAAGCTAAACTTGTGGAATTTACTTTGAGGTTTGTTTTATTTCTGTGCCTTAAATTTAACATTAATTAGTGGTACGAAGTGGATGGAAACAATAAGACAAGTCAAACTGTTTGTTAGCCCATCCATCCACCCCCGTCTCCTCCCTAAAATGTGTTTTTTCTTCAACTTCTCCGACCTTTTTGGGTTTTAAACCAACAACATGTGTGTTACAGGTCTGCATACGATAGCGTATTACGATTAATTCAGTCTTAAGAGCAAGTAAAGACTAAACATTGAAACCGATAAGTGCTGCATCCCCTGTAAAGTCAACAGGTCCGAGGCTTTAGTGCACGTACGAAACCATGAAATGATTTAAAGTGTCGCAGCAGCTCCGTTGAAACCGTCCGAGCGTTGATGCTAACCGAACGTTTGTCACCAGATCCATACGAGGAAAACTAAATCAGCTCCACACTTTGGATGAAAAACAACATCCAGGCGACGTTTATTACAAAAAACCACATTGTTGTTTTCTGTATATACCGGGAGAATATAAAAAACACAAACAAATATATTGTGATGCGTCTGGAGCGGAGGTGAGCAGCTGATCCCGGCGCTGAGTGGGAAACTGATTTAATTAGCTCGGCTGTGGAGAAAGCATTAGCAGTAAAAAGAAGAAAATCTCTCCCATCAGTGCTGCTCCACACTGATTTGTGTGTTTATTTTTTTGAGCTGATTTAGACTAAAATCTTAAGGGAATAATTAAAAAAAAAAAAAAAACTGTAATAGACTAAGCTCCTTCTAAATAAACAAGCAGTTTCATTTTTGCTTTGCTTAGAAGAATCCTGGCGAATGAACGTCTGTGACCTTTTTCAACCTGTTGGTCTTCAATCTGCTGCTAGATGTGACCCAACATCCTTAGAATTAGACGCTTTATTGTCATTTTAATGCAGCACAAGACGGCCATAGAATGACATTGTAAAGGCACTTCCAAATTAAAAGTGTGCAAACGAAGACTTTTCAAAAAAATACATAAAAAACTCTGAAAAAAGTGTAATTGTGGACATACGAAATGTACAAAAGAGTAAAAATCTGTAAAAGAAATTCTCAAAAAGTTAACATTAGAACATTTACAAGCTTAATAAATATGCAAAACATCTAAAGTCTAAAGGTCTAAAGGTGTAGCAGCACAGAGGGGCACATAGCAAAGGGTAAATGTTCATATAAATGGTTTAAATCCGTCCTTCTTTGGGTTTTCGCTGTATACTTTTCAACGTGTCCCTGCAGCAGCACGGCAGATCTGTTCCCAAACCCTGTCGCTTCACCTTGTAAAGGTCTGCTCGTACAAACCTGCAGCATCTACAGCAGGTTTGTACTAAACGGATCCTTTACGCTCAGAAACTCTCATATTCATTCTCGAATCCTCCCCTTCCTCCTCCTCCTCGTCTTCGTCTCCATCATCGGTCGCTGCAGCAACAACGACGACGAGGACTTGTCTCCGGAGCAGAAGATGGAGCGCGAGCGGGAGCGGAGGATGGCCAACAACGCCCGGGAGCGCCTGCGCGTCCGCGACATCAACGAGGCGTTCAAGGAGCTCGGCAGGATGGTGCAGCTGCACCTGAAGAGCGACAAACCTCAGACCAAGCTGCTGATCCTGCACCAGGCCGTGGCCGTCATCCTCAGTCTGGAGCAGCAAGTCCGAGGTCAGTGACGTAGAGCATGGACAGCGCTTTAAAGTGACGTCTTCATGCAAATAATAAATGGAAAAGCTCCACTGTGCTCTTGACCATTTAGGTTCATTTGGTTTGATTTAATCTTTTATTTTAAAAAAAAAAGCCAGAATACAAAGTCTGCTGATCTTTTTCCAACTCATTCCATGAAAGCCTGAAATTTCAAAATATATTAAGAAACCATCACTGTCACGTCTTTAGTTACCAAACTCCACATCCTTCAGCAGGAAGTACATACTGTGAAAGACGAAATGTGTATTAATCCGCCTCTAAAAACGCACTATTTCCTCTTGTCTGACTGAAGTTTTCTCCAAATGACCAGCTGTTGCTAAATGACTTAGTTTCGGTCTTTTGATGGGTTTCATGGATTTGTTGGTTGTAAGAAACGACAAAATGACAACAGCGTTGTTATTTAAAATGGTTTACATGGAGAGAACTGTGTGCTATTTGTACTTACAAGCTTGTCAAGGTTTCACCCAGGTGCAGTAAAAAATAAGGGTAAATATCCCTCAATATCTATAGTTTTAGTGTTTTTTTTTTTTTTACACAGTTACACAAGTGTCTAGAGCTCCCGTTATGTCAGGCTGAATTCTAAGGAAGGTTCACAAGATGCTAAAAGCTTCTTGAGCAAAATTTAACATAAAAATTCTTCCTTAATTGCACTGTATTTATGTTTAGTATTCTTTGGCGTCCTCTTCTGTCCTATTTAAGTTGGGCTTACTGCCTGTTTTGCTAACAGGTTACAGCATATTTGGTTTGTTATATGGTTGTGTAACCTTAGTAATAACTGTAACTTTAAACATGGCTTGTTTGTCTGTTTTTGTATTTTAAAAATGGGCCTTGAAGGTTATGATGCCTGTACAGGGATAGGATATAAGTCTGATGTTTCCTGCACTCTGGGGCTGAGAGAAGCAGCATTTGAATTCCTCTGTCGGCTGCACATGTCGGGACGTTGCCAGTGAAGTTCACTGTGCATGTAGTGACCCCGGAGCTCCAGTAGAGGGCAGCAGCAGCACCTGTTGATTGGTGCTCTGGCAGGTTTTGACTTTCAGTGTCACTGCAGATTCAGCAGAAATGAACCACCTGAATACGTTTTCTTCCCTCCCCCCCAGAGCGAAACCTGAACCCGAAGGCGGCCTGCCTGAAGCGCCGCGAGGAGGAGAAGGTCACCGTGACGTCGGACGGGACTCCCCTCTCGCTGGCCGCCGCCCACCACGCCGCCGCCGCCATGGGCGACGGGCCCAACCCCATGGGACAAATGTAAAGCGCAGCAACATCTCCTCCCCCCTGAATGGTCAGAAGATTTCACTTATACACTAATCTGCTGTTGTACCTTTAACTCAAAGAACCAGTGATTCAAAAACCAGTCCAGAAACTTCTCAAACCACGCTGAAGTCACGACTGTAAACCGTCGATTCTTCTGGCTTCAAGTGAACAAATTGGGCAAAAACAATCAGTTCTCAAAGGATGGACAGTTCCTCATTGGTCCACCAGCTGTCTGATACGGTCGCCTCTGTGCATTTTAACCATTTGAAATGGCAAAACAACTGGACTATTTGAACCCCCATAGAGTTTATAGGTCTTATTTCCCTCTACAGACATCCAATGTAACGTAGAGAAAACATGTTGAAGAAGTTTCTTGAAAGAAGTTTTAAACAAATGTGTTCATTGCGGATTTCATTCATTCAAATTTCAGTTATTTTTTTCTACATTTTCTTGCTTTTTATTTAAAGAAAATCCATTTTTTATCTTGTTAGCATGCACATATGTTGTTTTTAATGAGCAAAATAAGCACCGTGGCTCGTATTTCCACCTGCAGGGAACCAATTCAGACAAACCTACAGAACTGTCAACCTGCAGGATAGATGTATATCCTTATTATCCTGCAGAATAGACTTCCAGGACTTAATGCCTGTGAACCAAACAAGCAGAACTTACATTTTATTCTTCCAGTTGTCTTGTCATTTCCACCCCAAGCAAAAGGTTAAAACGTACACAGACGGCATTTTAGAACAAATTTCTCCCATTTTTTTCGTCCCCCTGCCGGTTAAAGTGTGGCAGGTCTGGTGACGTCCATTCTGGCTGAAGCCTGAGTTAGTTTCTGTCTGGTCTGGGTACATTTTAACAACAGATTGGCAGTAAGTGTGATTTTTAACGTGTGACTGTGTGGACTTGTGTTTTCCTTGTGTTTGTGTTTGCATGTCGCCGGCTCAGATGTGTTTTCTGTTGTCGCGTAGCCTCGAGGTACCAAAGGTCTCTGATAAGAACCAGGCGTGACCCAAGAACAAACCCGCACAGAGTTTCTCACTGGCAAAGAAAACACACAACAGTGAAGGGAATTGAGTAACGATGCTTTTCTGCTCTTTGTGCACTTTGATCCTCCTTGTGTGACGTTACTCATCCTCACTGTCCAAGCAGCCTCCAGTTTCACTTCAGTCTTGGGTCAAGAACTTCCAACATAATGTTTTATCTGTTACAACAATGCCCCTTGTTGGTGCGTTCATCTTTGACATTTTAGCTACCATCGCTAAGTTTTCAGATGTACGATTTTGATGACAACGAATGTTATCGACTCTCAAAGTGATTTTATTTTTATTTTTTTGTCACCAGTCAGATGAGTCAGAGGAAGATCTACTGGACAAAATGTCATGAAGTACATGATTCCTAATTATTTGGTGATCCTTATCGTTGTCTTTGGTGTTAGCGTCTGTACAGAACGGCCACTCGTGCAGAAATTCATCCATCCATCCATCCATCCATCCATCCATCCACATGTACTGTCCTAGCTGACACCCTGGACAGGTCACCAGTTCATTACTCACTTGAGCTAAATAAACAACAAACTTCCATCTTAAATTTAGCCTTAGTTGTATTTTATTGAGTACATTTGCGGATGACGAACCTCTTCCATGTTTGATGTTCACTAATAGGCAGACTTTCCTATTTGAAGCCCTACTACTGTACTCACCTGCTGTAGAGCTTTACAGGTATCGTCCAACCTCCACCCAACTGGTTGAGGCAGATGTCTCCCCTCCTAAACCTGGTTCTGCCAGAGGTTTTTCTTTTCTTTTCTCCTCTTCCCGTTAAAGGGAAGTTTGTTTTTTCCTTCCCGCTGTTGCCAAGTGCTGCTTACACTGACTCCAAAGGAAACTCTGGTTTGTTGGGTTTGTCTGTACACGTTTTCTTAAGGTCGTCGTCCTGAGATGTTGAAAATTGGCGCTAAATATATCAAATTTAACTGGATTACATTTAGGTCTACATTTGTAAGTGTTTCCACCCTAAAACTCCCCTTTCATGTTTCCCCTTCTCTTCTGTCCAGGTCCAAGGTGCCAGAGTTCATCAAGATGATGAGCGACCACTTCCTCTGACGGCGTTTCCGTGACAACCTGGCAATCGATCAAACCCGACGTCGCCTCAGCCCGACCAATCAGTATCTCTGGAACTTCGGCCTGACCAATCAGATCAGCCTCTTTCTCTCTCCTCTCGTCTGTTCGTCTCGGATCCTCCTCTTCGCCATCGTCTCCTTTTTCCGTCGAGAACACGAACTGCAGAGTCGCATTAGTCGCTTTCGTCGCTTTGCGTCCGCAGCTGAAGTGAACTGGATGCTTCTTTGTGGAGACGCTAAAACGGCCGCCGCGACGTCGCTGCTACGGGGTGGCGGCTTTTGGCACAAAGTGACAGCAATGGACACAAGTGTTTGGAATCACATCATCCAAGAAATTCTTCTTGTACTACATGTTTTATCAGCATTCCCAGTTTTAAAGAACAAAAGGGTTCTATATAAATATATATAGTATATATATATATAGATATATGAGAAAAAAATGACAAAAAAAAACTTGTCTAAAAAGTGCAACTGGACACGGGCAGCGAGCAAGGGAAGGGATTGGGGAGGGATGTTCAGAATGGAACAAAACATATCACAAAGTGTTTAAAGAGATTTTTTTTTTTTTCTAAAAAAAAAAACAAAAAAAAAGCAACATCGCGCAGCTGCTGTTGTTGAACGCAGCTCCAGCGCGTCTCTGACTGAATGGCAATCTAACGCCACACTGTGGATGAAGCTGTGCCTGATCTCCTCTTGGATGCAAACCAGTCAGATAGATACACACGGAGAACGCAACGCAAAACGAAACTAAAACAGGAAAAATTCCGGGAAGGCCGCACACCCAGACGTCCCCTTAGACACATTTTCAAAGTTTAAACGAAGGCGAGATTAGGAAGTAAAATCTGTGCTCGGGTTGCAGAGTAAAAACAAATGCTTGACTATCATAGAGGTCCAGGAAGAAGCAGGGCTAAACACGAAAGGGTAACTTGTTCTTTCCTTTCTAATGCATTCCCTCCGAAAGTGCAAATATTTAGGTTGCCTGTGTCAAGCAGTGTTTCTGTATGTTGCTTCTTGCCGGTAACCACATTGACTTTCTTGTACAAATCTTTGAATAGAGAGAAAAAAAACCCTGGACATTCGTACCCAAATGACCCGTGTGTATCTACTGGGAGGAAGAAAGTACTTTGAGAATCAATCATTGAATCAATTTAATCATTCAATCAGCGAGCGACTCCAGAGGGACTGGGGTGTTTAGGTTGTCGACCAATCACAGTAGAAACACATGAAGGAAGAATGATGCAGTAATGAAAAAGTGTACTTCTAAACGCGGCAGGAAGGGAAGGCTTTTCTAACATCTTGTCGTAGGGTTTGCGGTGCAGAACGAGCTCTAGCGAACATCCTGAATCAGAGACCTTTGTTGGATGTTCAATAGCGAGAGCAGTTTGGACCGCGACGGAAAATTGAAGGATTTGCCGGGCAGATGGTTGAGAGGACGGACAGATGACAGGAATCGGTTGACGAGTGGATTAGAGCCGGACTGAGCACTGAAGTGAATTCTTTTTCCATGTTTAGCACATTCCCTGAATCGTTGAATTGGGTGCTCCCGTTGTCCCGGACGCCTCCTGGGGGGGGAGCCATGTGGGATTAAGCCGGGTCAATATCACAAGGAACCGGAGCTCGAGAGAGAGAGAGAGAGAATCCAGAGGTCTAAATGAAGACGACACTATTGGGGGAAGCAAGGGAACAATCATCGGGGCGAGGGGTGTATCATTCTCTTCTGGGGGGCAAGCAGAAGTAGTCAAAGCATTCCTGTGTTGGATTCATTAGATTTCCTCATTTCCTGGTTTGGTGTCTGGCTGATGACCACCCGAAGCCTCTAACTCCAACCTCAGACCTCTCCTCATTCTACCATCACTGGGAGTCGGGGGCTTCCCGATTGACACTACTTGCTTTCTTGGACGAACTCTTAAGTCTTTGTTGAGGTGTCTGTTTGCTGGAACGGCGTCTTATCGAGGATGTTGCGGCGATGAAGGGGCATCATTTCCAACAGCTTTTGTTTTTTTTTTTTAGTGCAGTGCAGGAATCTGATCAGGAATCTTCCCAGTTGCGTTCTTCTTAGCGGAGAGGACCATCTGGACATATTGGACCAAGCAAAACCACACACCAGTAGTGAACAGGAGCGCAGAGGCATGTTAGCAAAAAAAGTCGTCGCTTCACATGCCACGGCTGTTTTAGCGTTCGGTAGCTAAACGAGTCGGATTAGCGGTTAAATGAAAGCACAGCTGGTGCTTTTGTGCCAGAGGACCAAACGTAAGCAGACCCAGACTGCCTGAAGGTTTTGGAGGTTCCATTTTTGGCCTCAGCATGCACTAACAGTAGCTCCGGGCCGGGAATCAAACTGAGGCATCCAGCAAACAGACACACCTGCTTTGTTTTAGGCCCAGTGTACACGCAAATTCGGAATAATTGTCAAAAATGTAGGACTGTATATAAAAGATGGACGATGCAACCATGAAATCACCCAATGGTTTGTAGACCATAATTTGTAATTTGACCATTGCCACCTAGGTCTTTTGAAACTAGACGTAATAAGCAAGGGTTGATTCCAACTGAAAACCCGATGCATGGTGCACCCAACCCTAAAATACACCCTAAGTTATCGAATTTAGTCTATAAACCACCATAATTAGTAAAATCTGCACAAAAAGCCCAAAACTACCAACTGAGACCATAAACTCATGAGGAAAATGTTTACCGAGGTGGCAAATCAAGTAAGAAGTGGGGTTATCTTCTCATAGATTTCTATACAATTGGATTCCTTTTTGCATCTAGACGAGTCGCCCCCTGCTGGTCGTTAGACAGATTGCAGGCACTTCTGTCTTTTATGTACAGTCTATGATTTCAATCAGTACTTCATAACCAGTTGAGTCCTGTATGACCCGGATTCTTGGGGAGCTGTTTTGTAAACATCAGCACCTATTTGGAAACAACAGGATCAAGTCGAGGCATGAGTCAGAGAGATAAAAATAAAATCAGGAAGAAAACTTCAGTATTTGTTGGGTTTCCAAGAACAGCCAAGCTCGTTGGAAGATCTGGAAGAACATTCTGTGTCAATCTGGAAGTCCCCGTTCACCACCAGTTTGAAGCCCTCTCGGTCCAGTTTAGCCCCCAGTCCCAGTGCTCTGCCGACCCTCGCCTTACGAGCCCTGAACCGGAGCCCCAGCCCCTGTCCCCGGTCTCTCGCCCCACCCAAGCGGTCCCACAGATGCAATTTGAACATTCAACACTTCTACCAACGTGCCTTTTTAGAGTTCATATCATTCGAGTTGCCAGAGGAGGACATTTACCTGGTCTTTTAATAGGATGCAAGCTTAGGGAAACCTGTTCTTAGTCGTTAGGTTCTATGCAGTCAGGTTTTTTACCAGACCTGGGAATTTAAAAAAAGCTAAAAAGGAAAAAAAAGTATTTTTTGGATAAAAAAAACGAAACTGTATTTAATGTACTGTACGCTTATATGTAAGTAGACAGCGTGTTCTGGCTTCGAGCCGATGGGACAGACGCTTGATTTAGCAAAACTAGCCCCCGTCCCAGTCCTCCCAGTCCCCCCAAAGTCCTCCAGAACCCCCAGACCCACTTTCCTGTTCCAAGCCCCGACCCTGTTTCCATGGTGAACAACGCGTCTCTTCTTGTATTATAGCTTATCAGCTTTTTATCAATATTTGATCGGCTTGTCCGTAAGCCAATGTAGTCTTCAGTACAAAGTGTGTGGTCGTATGTTGTAAAACCGATTTTCTTTCTTTTTTCTTTTCTTTGTTTTTATTCTTCTCTCTCTCTTTCTCTTTCTCTCTCCTTCTCGCTGTCTTTTATAAGAAGAATCTTTTCTCTGATTACTTTTTTTTGTCTGTTCTGGTTTACATGTCTATTACAGAAAATGTAAAAAAAAAACAAAAACAAAAAAACAAGAAAAGGGGAAAAAAAACAAACAAAAAACAAACAAAACGACAAACGAAAAATAAAAAAAACGACACAATTCGCTATCCGGCAGCATTGTTCTCTGCCGGGGGTCATTTAGAAACCCTACCCAATCAACAGGAAAGGCACGGAAACTGGAAAAGAATTTATTTGAATAAATCAATCTATATATAAATGTACAAAAAAATATATACAGTATATAACGAGGGTGCCGTTTTCTGTTATTTTTTTATTTTCCGTTGCTCGGGGGGAGGAGGAGGAGGAGGAGGAGGAGGAGGAGTTGTTATTTTCTCAAAGACTGAACCGGCAGGATGTTGGCGAGGCCCCTCAGTGTTATGAAATTTTTCAACTGACTTCGTTGTATTCTCTGTTGTTGCCACGACAACGCCCTTTCCCGACTAGTACGGCACCCTGCGCAGGACAAAATGGGACCGGAGTTCCATCAGCTCCATTCACTGCTATCTATCCAAGGCAACAACAACAACAACAACAACAACACAGACGTTTGTAAATTGTATGCAACAAAATGGCAAACTTTACCATTATTTTGAAATTGTGTATGTAAAAGTTATATTTTTACATGTAGACTGTTGTTATTTTGTGTTTTAGAAATATGTTGTATCGGTTTTTTTGTTAAAAGATGAAAAAGTAAAAAATTCAGTGTGTGTTGAAAAAATGTGTCACATTGAAAATGTAGTGAGGTCAAAAGTTCAGAAATCATTTTTGTTTTTGTTTTTGTTTTGTTTTTGTTTTTGTTTTTTTTAATTTTTCAATATTCTGTTTATATCTGTGGGGGACGTGTTTGAGGGTTCGAGGGAGGAATCAGAAATCATAAAAGATATATGATATTTGTTTAAATTCTCCATGCCTCATGACATTACCATTTTTAATTGTATTTTTTGCAGAGATGTGTGTAAATAGTCATCGGCCATTTCTTTTTTTGTTGTTTTTGTTTTCTTCCTGTGGGGTTTCTGTGGGGTGAAGATTTGCCAGTGAGAGACGATGATCACGACGATGAACTTGTTTTTGAGGTTTTTTTTGTGGTCAGGTTGTTCTCGTCCGGTTACAGTAGCCAGGTGCCAACTTTCTTTTTCAGTTTTGATCGGTGGTGCTCAAGTACTGTTTGTGGTTTTGGTTGCCGACCATCTGGAGTGTAAGTCAAACTGTTGTCTTCGCTTGCACCAAGTATCGCTCGTATCAGAGCCGACGGGAGCCGTTTTTAAAAAGTTTTTTGTTTTTGCGCCATGTGAAGAATTTACTTAGATTTTCAAAAAAAAAAAAAAAAGACTCCAAGTTTTTTTTTTTTTTGCAATAATAGAAAATTAAGAATTTCTGGTGATAATAATAATGATGATAATAATGATAATAATAGGGTTATAGGGTCATAAATTATGACAAAATCGCAACTGATTTACCCAAAGAGTGTCTCACTTTGGCGCCCCCTGGTGGCTATGGGCCGGCTCTGACTCCTGTGCATTTTGTTTTTCTTCGAGGCGGGTTGTAAATGTTGATGTGAATGTTAAATGAAAGACCCTCAGCACCTGATTCAAGAATAATATATGAAAATTTTGAAAAACAGATTGGAGAAAGTCGCTAATGTAAAGAAGCAGGTCGTCAGCAAACAATCTCTTCAGCTATTTCCCCAAAAAGAAATCCGATCGCGTGCAAGGCAGTTTCAGTCGTTTGTTGTTTTTTTTTGTTTTTTTTTAGTGTTTGCCATTAAAAACTGAGCTTTTTTTTGTCAAAAGGAAAAAGCTGCTTTGACTCGGACCTAGGTCAAACACTAGGATTGAATCTGTCGGTGTAAGTGCTAAATGTATTTTTTAAGTAATGTTATTATTCTATTTTTTTTTTTTTTTTTGCAATGCTTCATTTCATATTTTCTCTTTGTTGTATAATCAAGTCATCTCCCGAATTACAGTATCTCCATTTTTATGTTACCCCTGGTGTTTCTATTAGCCAAAATGTTAACTTTTTTTTTTTCTTTTTCCTCCTTGTTGTACATACACACCTCATTTCTCTTTTTCAGTGACTGTGCCATGAGCTTTGTAATCTGTTACTCTGTACCAGTTTTACTGCAATAATGAGTTGAATTCAAAATGGCCACTCCTGTCCTTTGTTTTCCCAGTGACATTAGAGACGTTTCCAGTTTTCTCGCAGCAACTCTTTCTTACTTCTACGAACTTAAATCAACATTCAGACACACTCCGGAGACGAGCGCTAGCCAACATCAGGAGCACAACCAATCTGAGATTTGGTGCATTTATATAACGCAAAATATTATTTATAGTTTTTTTCACCCACTTAATACAATTAAAAAAACATTTTATAAACGTTTTCTTTGTTGGCTATAACTCATGTGAAAGAAAATAACAAGTGAACAATAAGATGAGGCTGTTTAAAGGTTTTAGAGCGCCACACATCGGACACTTTTCTTCACACAAATGTCCACTGCCAGAAAAAAACATCTAAAACTCTATTTCCTCTTCTTTAGCCTGGATTCCTTTGCTCACTAAACCAACAGAGTATTTTTTTTAAGGTTGTGCTGAAAGAGTTTGGTTAAAAAATTATTTACAGGTTGTTCAGCAGCTCAAAAAGGGGCCCACGAGCAGATTAACACATAAAGAAATGGTATAAAACTTCCAACCAGGAGATTTTTTTTTCACTTCTGAGACAATCTTTAAAGTAATATCTGAAGTTCAGCTGGTTATATGTGCTGTTAGCGTACAATCAGATCCTCTAAAAGCCCCTAAATGTGTGATCATTTTCTCTTTTCATTGTGAAAGAGAGTTTGTTCCAAGTATTGTTTGGAATTGCTTCAATCTCTTCACCAACATACTCACCTAGAACCATTTGATGACTCACGATGCGTCGTGTGTCCTGCAGCCTGAATAACTGCTGACCCGTGCAGTTGTTGAACTGCAGACACACTATAAATCCAGATGTTTGCGATTCCGACACACTAAAACCACAGTTTTGGAGCTAAATAGGGCTGAACAATTAATGAATGTCAAAATAACCGTTTGAAACAATGCAACTAGCAAATCCTGAAGGCTTCAATTTACCAGAGAGGTCTGGTCATGCATACAGGTCAAGGTTTTTACACATTCCTCCTTGTGTAACACTCGCTTTTTTGATGCTATCTCATGTGGCAATGCTCCATCTCACGATTTAAATCTATTCCACAATTGACTTTAAAAAAAAACACACAAATCAACATCTTGATCTCGATATCTATCAGAAACTGTTCGAAATCGTCCTCATAAATGTGATAATGGTGGAGTTTTGAGCAGTTAATTGGTTTGTAGAACGTGGGGACACATTTAGCCTAGCTTAGCACAAACACTGGAAGCATCTTTTAGCCTCCATCAAAGCTGAAAACAAAACCTTCCAATGATTCTAAAGTTGCGAATCTGGATCCATCCTGTGGTCAGAGGAGGTTTGTTGAGTTACTCGAATGTGGTGCCTCCACTGTAAGATCAGGACTTCTGAGATACTGCGTGTAGCCACTACACCCAGCAGCGAGTCAAATTCTACATTTATCTCCTGCTAAAACCCCAATGACTTATTTTAAGTTTTCTATTTCTGCTCAGTATACAAAATACGACCTGCAGTTGATCCTGACTTTCAGTGACGCAATTCTCCCGTTAACATTGGGTGTTGGACGAACATATCTACGCATGTACAGTGGGTACTTTCACTACTAGCTTGGAAAAATGTTTATTTGGAATTTAGGTGGCATTTATGAGGGACATTGGGGGGGTGGAGACTGAAAAACTGATAAAAACTCTGGATTTATGTATCCGTCTTGGTGCAGACTTGTTTCACAGTTGATCTTAATCTAAGCAGGTTCTGGCTCTAGCTACTACTTTACACTTAGCGAGGTCACTTAAATTTCAACTTTATACCACTGGCTTATTAACTAATGCACTGATTAATGTTGGTAAACCAGTTTTCTTTGGATTTTAACTAAGATAAAGTTCTAATTTTAACAATCTTGCCACAGTATGACAACATTCCTAATCCAGCCTGTAGAGCTCTGATTGGTTGTCCGACCACATAAACAGACCTATTGAAATGACTGAAATGTGTTGTTTAGACATGTGGGACCAAGAAGTAATCTAGCATTCGTAGGAAATTACTGGTTTTAGAGCACATGTTACAAACACAAAGGAGCGGTGCATCAGAAAATCGTCTTAAAGTTAAAGTACACTGGGTCCAACAATGAGCACAAATAAGGAATCGACTGATATAATTGAACTCGTCGCTCATTCCCTGATTTTTTCAGTATTATAATCATTGCGTGAAGCTGAATATACATGAAACTGTGGCCTTTTTTCTTTCTTTTTGTTCCTTATGGTGCAATTCATTGAAGAAGCGAAAAAAGTAAAAGTAAATTATAAAGATGAATGAGCCCAGTGAGGCTTTTTTGTCTTATTTTTTTGAGCATCCTCAACAAGAAGCAACATTTCAACTCAGTTCATCAGAATTTCAAATATATTTAGCAGATTTTTTATTTTTTTTTGAAGCGATGATCCTTTTTTTTTTATTTGACAAAGTTTTGTTTGAAGCGTGTGTTCCTGGAGACAACCCTGAGAGGTTTTCTTTGTGGACCTCACATCCTGGCTGGCAGCAGATGGTGACACAGAACATCCGTAGAAGTCAAAATTTAAATTAAAAAAAACAACAGCAGTTCCAGTTTCTTTCCAGTGAGTGGCTGAGTGCCTGCAATCTTTCTTTCACTGCATTTTCTTTCCTGTGTCCTCGGTCTTGTGTGGTTACCGCTGTGTTCTTTTCTTACGTTTGCGGTTTCTGTTCTTCTGACTCCACGTTGTTCTGATTCCAGATGAGTGCAGATTTTGGGGAACAGGTTTTCTGTGCTGAGGGTTTTATTCTTCCTCGTACCAGCCCAGCAGCCGGCCGTTCGCCGCCTGTTGGTTTTCATCTTGTAGTGATTCGATGAGGTTCATGT